CTGTCTTTGTCTTCACAGGATGTTCCTACTCCATATAATGGTTTTTTAGAAGATTTAACTGTTATTCAACCAAGTCAAATTGTAGAAGCCGCARAAAAAATGATAATAGATTCTTAAAAATTTGAATTTGAGTGTTAGCCTTGCCTTGCCTTGCAAGGCTGTAGTGTCCAACTCAACACACAGCACACAACACCACAGGGACGCGGCAATTCTCGCACACTTCGCTATATCAGCAGATTCAGCATGTACATAGAACTTCACAGAAGTAAAAGAAAACACAACTAAGGAAGAGAAAAGAAAGAACCCTTTCTATATTTTTATCTAAATTCCTTGTAAATGGGACGCTGGACCCGGTTTCCAGCAGGTGCTGCTCCCACCAATAGACGGAGCCTCTGTTAAAAAAAAAAAAAAAAAAAAAAAAAAAGGAAGAGAAAAGAAGAAAGGATCAGAAAAGAAAAAGGAAGGAGAGAGAACCAAAGGAAAGAGAGGAAGAAAAGAAGAAAACAAGGCATGTAGGCATGCCGAAGAAAGGCGAAGAAAAGGAAACATAAGATTTGCATTGCTATTCGCAAAAAAAAAAACTGAGTTTGTTTACAACTTTACACAAAGTGGTCGGCTGACAAATCTACCATTTTTCAGTTTCTCAAATCCTTGCCGTTGCTGCACCATCGCTGTTTCTCGATCCCACCGGATCGTTTCCATCTGCAGGGGGCAAACAAACAAGCCAGTGGAAAGCAATAGACGGAAGGTAAGGATTTTTTTTATTTTTTTTTTGAAAGGGAAAGTGCGCATCCATTGGACAGAAGGATACCTGTGCTCCTCCTCCTCTCCTCCTCCTCCTCCTTCTCCTCCTCCTCCTTTTTCACCTCATCCTCATCCTCATCCTCATCGTCCTTATCATCATCATTATCATCGTTGTTATTGTCATCATCATCATCATTGCTGTCACCATAGTCATCCTCCTTGCCAGCTTGTCGTTGTGGTCATTATCATTGTCAGCTTGTTGTTGGCATCATGATTATCATCATTACTCTCATCATCATCATCATCATCCTAATTATTATCATCATCACTCTCACTATCATCATCATCATCATCATAATTCTCACCATCACCAGCATCATTATTTTTATCAATGCCATCATCACTGAAACCACAGCATGAATGTCAGTGTGAACAGCATTTGTTGATCCGTGATGACTCTACTTATTATCTTCTCCTGGCTCCGAGGAAGGGCAGAGGAGGGTAAGGGGGACATGGAGAAAGAGAGGGAAGTAGTGGTGCTTCTGTTGTTTCTTTGTTATCTAATTAGTAATTAGTAATTACTGTCATCATTGTCATAACCACAGCACAAGTGGTTAACAGGGACCCCCACTTTTCAGCCCCAGGTTAACACCCCCAACACTGAAAAGTGCATTTGTGTCTGTTTTTTTTTTTTTTTTTTTTGGCCCTGACAGGGTGGCCGGCGTTCAGGACGGGCTGAACGCCCAAACCCGAACGCCCGAACGTA